TTTAATATAACCTAATGGCTGAACAGGGTTTCCGGGATCTCTCCACGGGTGACCTTTATCCGCATCAGGGTACTTTGTGTCACTGAGTGTTTATCGCTCTGTTTGATGTCCTGGTGGAGTAAAATTTACTTACTTACTCCTTGCCTCTCAGGCAGATGCACTCTGACTTCATAAGAACATGGGGATAATGCAATAAATAAAATAAAAGAATGAAATAACGTAATTAGATATTAATGGAATGATTTTACAACATGTCTATGAATGGATTCCACCAGCTGTAAAAGAATTCATTCTTCCAAATATTAATGAAATGATTCAGTCAGATATATAAGTCAATAAACTGGTTCCATTAGATGTCAAGGAATTGCTTCCAATTGATGTCAATGAACTGGTTCTATTAGATGTCAATGAACTGCTTCCAATTGATGTCAATAAAACGGTTCCATTAGATTTTAATGAATTGCTTCCAACTTATGTCAATGAACTGGTTCCATTAGATGTCAATGAATTGCTTATAATTGATGTCAATGAACTGGTTCCACTAGATGTCAATGAATTGCTTCCAATTGATGTCAATGAACTGGTTCCATTAGATGTCAATGAATTGCTTCCAACTGATGTCAATGAACTGGTTCCATTAGATGTCAATGAATTGCTACCTATTGATGTCAATGAACTGGTTCCATTAGATGTCAATGAATTGCTTCCAATTGATGTCAATGAACTGGTTCCATTAGATGTCAATGAATTGCTTCCGATTGATGTCAATGAACTGGTTCCATTAGATGTCAAAGAATTGCTTCTAATTGATGTCAATGAACTGGTTCCATTAGATGTCAAAGAATTGCTTCTAATTGATGTCAATGAACTGGTTCCATTAGATGTCAATGAATTACTTCTGATTGATGTCAATGAACTGGTTTCCATTAGATGTCAAAGAATTGCTTCTAATTGATGTCAATGAACTATCCCACCAGACATTACTGAAGTGATTAAACTCCAATTTTGTAATTCCAACAAACGGCAATGAACTGACATACAGTCTGCACTTTCAGAACAACAACAAAAATGCAAAATACTGACAAAAATGAAGGTAAATAAATCTCTGGGAAAAAAAAAATTACCCGTTCTTGCACACCAAAAAAAAAAAAAAAAATAAAATAAAATAACACGTTTTTAAATATGAATGTTTGTAAACCTGTCAAAAAATCATGCAGGGTGTCCATACACTACATGCATACTAGTTATCTTCTTCTTCTTCTTCATGTTCACAGGACTGTGAACTCTGATGGAAAGTTCTGGTATTCATCCACCTTGCGACTGTAGTCTTGTTCCAGAACCTGAGTGTTGCATGCACATTAGTTTTACAGATCTGACATACTTGTATGCAGACTGATGGTCTGCCAAATTTATAGCCAGTGACGCTAAAAGGAAGATATGTTATGGCCTAGAAAGTGTGAAAGTCATCTTCTTCTGTATTCATCCTATCATGTAATTGTTTTCTGCCCATCTACAGCATGGCTGCAATATTTGCACCTTTCGGCCGACACATCCAACTTTTTTACACATCTTTTTTCCCGGAGGCAGCCTTTCAACGACAGTATCTGCCATGGGACTTCCTTTACCATTGTGCCCTAAACCCAATTTTCTTCTTGCTAATTTAAGGCAAAATCTGCCGAGCCACCTGAAGCTGTTCCTTTCAAAAACAAGAAGCAGCAATTCCTTTCAAAAACAAGAAGCAGCAATTCCTTTCAAAAACAAGAAGCAGCAATTCCTTTCAAAAACAAGAAGCAGCAATTCCTTTCAAAAACAAGAAGCAGCAATTCCTTTCAAAAACAAGAAGCAGCAATTCCTTTTAAAAACAAGAAGCAGCAATTCCTTTCAAAAACAAGAAGCAGCAATTCCTTTCAAAAACAGTTTCTTTTTAAAACTGACAGGAAAATGAGATTTTAATTCCAACTCTGTAAACTGGATATGTTAGATATAATGAAAATCTAAATTTCTGAGCTCCTTTCTCAAAGAAAATAATGTGCCATTAGTCAGTAAAATACAATAATGCATATTGTAAAACTATACCTAAACTTACTATGTTTGTTATGAACTGTAACACCAGTTGGTAATACCAGTAATATCAGAATACCATGGACAAAGAAATACTGACATTTTAAAAGATCTAAACATCAAGGAGATTGGCTAATAAACAGCATCTTGTCTTGGAAGCCAAAATATTTTGGTCAAATCAAGCACCATGGCAGACTGGAAAAAAATAATAGCAGAAGGCATGGTACCTGGAAGGAGGGGCAGGGGTCGGCCGGCACGAAGATGGGCACCTGAAATAAGCGATTCCTTGAATATGAAAGCACATGAGGCAGGAGAGCTGGCGAGAGACCAGGTTTCTATCAGGCAGACTGTGGTGGGAGCGACGTTCTGCAAAAGACCTCCTACATGATGATGATAAACTGTAATCCTAAATTGCAAACATGTTTTAGACACACATTTGTTAATTACAAGTCCTTTACAGGATGACCCCCAGAATTTGTTGCTATTTGTGGCTGTACTCAGCAAACTATACCTTCAGTAGTTTGCCATTGCTTTTTGAATAGTTGAATGCTCAGAATGCTGTTGAAATCAACACAAACTAGTCTGTTGCCAAATCATATTCAGTTGAACCACACTTGATGTGTCAGAATTATAAAACTACATTCATAACCCCTATGCCACAGATGATGATCGAAGCACGAAGAACTGGAGATAGAACAAAATAATATTACGCACAATAACTGTAGAGACATCCTGCAGTAAAACTAATTCGGAATGATTAAAAAAAAATAGCAAATAAAAAAACAAAAACAGTAATCATACTATATAGAACAATTTTCTTACAAACTATTTTGGCCTCAGCAAAGTTTGTGTGAAAGACAGCAGTGGCGGACAGCTTTCGTCTCAAACCTTTTTAAGTATTCAGAACCATAGGAAATTACCTGTCTTTACCTGTCCAGATAAGAAACATAGGAGGAAATCAATTTACGTAGCAGAATACATAAAAATATAACAAATGTAAATATACTGTTAAGAGACTGAGTCCCCCCCCCCCCCCCCACAAGTGTTTTGTGTTAGAGGGCCTCAAGGGTTCTTCCATGTTCTGGTTCCCTCTGCTACGGCAGCTTTTTCTTATGACCACCAAATGCAAGTTTGTTTCTTAATAGCCCTTTTTTTTTTTTTTTTTTTTTTTAAAACACCACACCTGCTAAAGATTCTTCTTTTTTCTTAGCCTTCATAAGTTGTGAACTCTGGAGGAAAGCTCTGGTTGTTCATCCACTTCTTGACTTGTCTTGTTCCAGAACCATGCGCATCCGTTTTACAGATCTAGCTTATTTGTATATAGATTGGATCCATGCTTTTGAGGTAGATGTACAGTCAGTCTATTCTGTTTCCCCCCTCATACTGGGTACCCGGAACCCACACAGGAGATAACTTTCATCATTTTGAAATAAAGTCATTAAAAAATGAGTTTAACATGACCATGCCATATATCTGACTCAGGGGTAATATTTCATAAGGCACAGCTTCATTATTCTGACATACAAGGGCTCAGCGTAAGATGTAGGTGATTTGACAGCAGACTGCTTCGTAATGATTCAAAAACAGCATGCATGTCGAACTGTTCAGCAACCAATGGTAATCTACTTAATGGAAAATTTCTTTAATAAAACCACAAGCAGCTGGGAGTAAGTCTGTGTCATCCTGTAAATCAGGGGCTAGTTAGGGAAGTTTACTCAGGGGCTAGTCAGGGAAGTTTACTCAGGGGCTAGTCAGCGAAGTTTACTCAGGGGCTAGTCAGCGAAGTTTACTCAGGGGCTAGTCAGCGAAGTGTACTCAGGGGCTGGTCAGGGAAGTTTACACAGGGGCTGGTCAGGGAAGTTTACACAGGGGCTGGTCAGGAAAGTTTACACAGGGGCTAGTCAGGGAAGTTTACTTGGCTAATCAGGGAAGTCTACTCAGGGACTGGTCAAAGTTTACTCAGCTAGTCAGGGAAGTTTACCCAGGGGCTAGTCAGGGAAGTTTACTCAGGGGCTAGTCAGGGAAGTTTACTCAGGGGCAAAAATGTTGAAAATGGATATTCGTCATGGGCCAGAGATCTGAGCCCTTTGATAGAAAGATCACTAATGTAATACCACTGGCAATGATCCGCAGGCCATTTGCTAGGCCTCTGGGGCCAGATGTGGTCCGCGGGCTGCTAGTTTAATAGCCTTATAAAGGGAACCACCAGAGAGGCTACTTATATGATTGAACTTCATGAGAGGATTCATCCGAGAGGCCACACACATATATATATAATAAACCGCATGGCAGGATCAAGCAGAGAGACTAAATATATGGTAAACTTCATTTAAAAATCCACCTCAGAGGGGAGATATATGGTAAGCATCTTGAAAGGATACACGTGAGAGGTTGCATATACATTTGGGACCATGAAAGCATCTACCCAAGAGGTAACACATATGGTAAACCTCAAGAAAAGATCCATCTCAGAGGTTACATAAATGGCAAGCTTAATGAAGAGATCCACCTGAGAGGCTTCAAATACGGCAAAACTAATGAAAAGATCCAAATGAGAGGCTACACATATGGCAAGCTTAATGAAAAGATCCACATGAGACGCTACACATATGGCAAGCTTAATGAAAAGATCCACATGAGAGGCTACACATATAGCAAGATTAATTAAAAGATCCACAGGAGAGGCTACATATATGTTAAGTTTAATGAAGAGATCCACATTAGAGGCTACATATATGGTAAGCTTAATGAAGAGATCCACAAGAGAGGCTAAATATATAGTATGCTGAATGAAGAGATCCACAAGAGGCCACACATATGGTAAACATTATAAGGAGATCTTCCTGACAGTCTACATACATAAGTCCAACACAATAAAGAGATCTACCTGAGCTTATGGTAAGCCTAAATAAAGAGATCTATCTACCTGTGGCTTGTCTTCAGTAATCAGACCACAAGACAACTTTTCTGCCCTTCTCACAACTGACAATGGAAGTGCCTGCAGGATTCCATGAGCAGGCAAGAACGGCATGGCTGAAACAGAATATACCAGAACTTCTGGAACTCACAAATTAACATGATCAAATCACTAAAAAAAAAAACATACACAAGTTTTGTTTTAACCCTTTCACTGCTACATATCCCACAGCAGGCACATACTACTGACTGTGCTAAATAAGGCCAATCCATAACCGGCTCCAGCTGACAGGCCGTGCTGCTGACGTCACCAGGTCGGGCTAGCGATGCATTAACACAGCGGTTCTCAAACAAGGAATAAACAATTTTCGACAATGGCAAGTGAAGACCACTTACATTTTAACTTGTAAGTATCTACATGCCTTCTTGAATAATTTCATAATTTTTAGCCTACTTTTCTCGATTATTGCCGAGGCACACCTGGTATACGCTCACGGCACACCCAGTTTGAGAACCGCTGCTTTAACGCATTGTTAGCCCAACCCGGTGCGTCAGCAGCACGACCCGTCCGCTGGAGCTGGTCGTGGCCAATCCAAATCCTTTCTCCTGTGCTGAATAGTTTCTCATCGTCCGAAAAAACAAAAGACATCCTGGTTGTGGTGGCTATATTTTACACCTTAAAGTATAAACCCCAGGGTGGTTGGTCCGTGTGCTGACATGTCAGGTGCACTATGGTGATGCAAGATAACTTGCCTTTGCAGAAATGAAACACTACACACTTTAAAAAAACCACCACAATCAGCTAATACACAGTTTTGTATACTGTTAATGTTTTGTGTGTGTGAAAAAATACAATGCAAGCTGTAAGACAGCGTGCCACATCACAATCCTTGCACATGTATCTGGCTTCCTATAGCTTTTTGCATATACCACACACTTTCTTGTTGCCTCCTTCTTCTGTGATGTTTTGTTTTTTGCCATTGATAAGAAATGTCTCTGCACCAACCATGGTAACAGATCTTCATTCCTTCATCATCCTACACTCTTTCTTCAGCTTCTGCTCCACTGTGGGCAGTAAATTTCCTGATTTTCATAATGCCATCTGTATTTTTAGCTCGATCATGAAGCCATTAAAAAATGTTGGACTACCATTAACTAGTTATCTACAAAATGTGTTTGGCCTTTCTGAAGATAGATTTTCAGCACTGTAGTCACAATCTCAGGCCCCTTCCCTAAAAGTGATAAAATAATGTGGCTGACATCAGCATACACTATGGAATCTAAAATGTAAACTGTAATGATGTAAGGCAAACTGTCAATGACACACACGCATGCACACACACACACTCAGAGAGAGAAAGAAAGTGGGTGCGCCCGTGCGGGTGTCTGTGGGTGGCCCCTATCTCTCATCCGGAAAGACAACAGCATATGATGGCAAAAGTCTTCTCAAAGACATATTTGCAGAACCTGTTACATTCATCTACCATAAAAGTCACCAGTGATTCAGTGACAAAGAGTAGAAAATATCAATCACTGAAATGTTTTAATTCATAGCAGAAGAATGACAGCCAGGGCTGCAGTTGTCAAAACTATGCACAACTGGTCTCAAGTTATTGAAAGATCAGGAAATTTGATCCACTGTATCCTGTTTTTAACCTCTCAAAGTCCAATCCCACGTCCGCGTCGTGAGAGGTGATAACAGAACAAAGTAGGAGATTGCTAGGTGTGGGCGAAGTATGGTGTGGCCTCGTGCCACGGGACTGCTACGGTAGCCATGAAGGCCACCCTGGGTCACCCCGAAACCTTCTGGCCAAAGGGGCTCTGGTGAAGTTGCGACAGGCCTAGCAAGCTGGCAATAGATTTATTATCGCTACAGAAAACACAATGAGATATAAACGAACTGATCAAACGGTATCTGACCATGGCTATGTTAAGGGACTACGAGACAGAAAAGCAAAATACAAGATTGCAACACTTAACACCGCTGGCCTGGGAAATAAAACAGAAGAGATTATTGAAATGATGGAAAAAAGGAAAATCAAGTTAATGGGGCTAGCTGACATAAGACGCAAGGGAAATAGTAACAAGAAAATACACAGAGGCTACCTACTAACATATGCAAGAAGAGAAACATCGAAGAATGGAGTGGGTTTCCTGGTGCATCTGGACATATCTAACTACATATTAGACATGCATTATCACTCAGATAGAATTTACTTTGAAAATTAAAAGAGGAGAACAAGCTGAAACATATATACAATTATATGCACCATGCAATGATAATTATACAGAAGAGCAGAAAGATGAATTCTTTGACGATCTGTCTGATGAGATAAAGAAAGTTGAGGGAAGCAGCATACTATATGTAATGGGTGACTTCAACGGGAGGGTAGGAAATAACAGAAGAGAATACGAACAGTTTCTAGGTCCATATGCAGCTAAGAACAGTGATAGAAATGGAAATGGTCAAAGAATATTGGATCTATGCAGGCAGCACAATATTTTTATTATGAACACATTCTTTGACCATAGAGATTCACAACTTTACACTTGGTACAAATGGAATGATGTCTCCATCAAGAGCCAGATTGACTTTATACTTACCAGAGTTCAAGGAAGAAGGAGAATTTTTGATTCAAGAGCAATAATCCCTAATGGTCTATGTGACATTGACCATAAAATAGTTGTGTCAACAGCAAAACATCTTACATTAAAGAAACACAGAAAGAAATTAACCAAAAACAAGGATCTCATCAAGATAGCAAATCTGAAACAGGAAGGAGTAAAAGAACAGTTACAACAGAAAGTAGAGACAGCATTCAAACAACTTCCACATGTAGTTGGCAATATTGAAGAAGAATGGAGTAAATATAAAAACACTATGCTTAGTATTGCAGAAGAATTATGAGAAAAACGGAAGAGTGGAAACAGACGGGGAAATAACAAATATTCATCTTGGTGGTGCGAAGAAGTAAAAGACGCAATTAAAAAGAAAAAAGGACTTATATAAACAGTGGATAAAATCAAAGAAAGAAGAAGATTATATAAACTATAGACTGCAAAGAAGAGAAACCAACAGGAGTGTCAAGAAAGCAAAACAGGCATCCTGGGAACGTTTCGGTGAGTCATTAGCAGAAAATGAGAAAACAGCCAGCAGAAAATTTTTTCAAAGTAGTTAAAAATATGCGGAAAAGAAATGAGAGCTACAATCCCACTGAAATAATTAATGATAAGACAGGAGGGCCATTGATAGATCCACCTGAGATAGCAGAAAGATGGAGGGAATACTTCAATGAGCTCTTTAATCCTCTAGGAAATCATCAGGAAAGAACAACTGAAGAGCACAGAGCAACAGTGTTAGAACCACACATACTAAAGGATGAAATAGATAAAGTCATTAAGCAGTCTCCCAAACATAAAGCACCAGGAGTTGATAGATTACCAACATAAATAATTCAAACAGCAGGTGAAAGCAGCATTAGATGGTTTCACAGAATATTTAATACAGCATGGGTACAACAAACTGCCCCTATTGATTGGCAACATGCAATAGTTATATCATTGTGGAAAAACAAAGGAAGCAAACGAGAATGTGGTCAATACCGAGGCATCTCTCCTTTAAGCCATGTCGGCAAAATGTATGCCAAGATAATAGAAACAAGACTGAGGCCAGTAATAGAACCACAGCTGGCAGAAGAACAGATGGGATTTAGGAGAAATAGAATCTGCACAGATGCAATCTTCACACTTAAACAGTTAATAGAAAAGAACATTGAATACAATAAGAACTTATTTGTGGCCTTCGTAGACCAGGAGAAGGCATTTGACAGAGTCGACAGACAATTATTATGGAAAGTAATGGCAAGATATGGAGTAAGCGAACACCTCATCCAAGTGTGCAAAAGTTTATACAGGGATTGTAGAAGTGTAGTTAGAATAAATCAGGGAACCTCTCATCCATTCACAGTAACATCTGGAGTAAGACAGGGGTGTGTCTTATCACCACTGCTGTTTATCACCTACATCGACAGTATATGCAAGAATGCCAAGCCCATGAATGAAAATGTTAGTAAGATCAACGAATTACTCTTTGCAGATGACCAGGCCTTGATAGTAAATACAGCCATGAAATTGCAACAACATCTAACATCCATGAATGAAAAATGTAAAACAAATAATATGAGAATCAACACTGAAAAGACAGAAGTAATGTCAATAGGAAAAAAGAAGACAGATCTAAACATAGCAATAGAGAACAAAGGCATTAAACAGGCATCTGAGTTTAAATATCTGGGAACTACATTTACCGAAGATGGGAAATTGGATAAAGAAATTAACATTAGATGCAGTAAAGCAAACCAAGTATTGGGACAGCTAGCCCCCCTCTTACAGCATAAGACAATCCCAATCAGCACAAAGAGACATCTTATTCAAAGTATATTTATTCCAACTCTGTGCTACCAGTGCCAGACATGGTCACTCACAACAAACCATAAAAGAAAATTAGTAACCATGGAAATGAGATGTCTGAGAAGGGCTGTAGGAGTGACCATAAGAGATAAGATCAGGAATGAGATCATAAGAGAAAAAGTCGGCACAGAACCAATTCTAAATTACATACAAAGACAGCAAGTGAAATGGTTTGCCCACTTAGAGAGAATGCCTTGTGACACCATACCATACAAAGCATACATGGAAAGAGAAAAAGGTCATAGAGCAAGAGGTAGACCAAGAACAATATGGAAGGATAACATCAGAGAAGCTCTACAACAGCATGATGTTCCTATGGTCGAGGCGGCCAGAAGAGCCAGAAACAGAACCTAATATCTCCCTTGACACCCACAGCGGTAAAGAGGAAGTGAAGAAGAAGAAGAAGAAGTATCCTGTTTTGATGGCACTTCATCAACACTGCACTCTGATTCCAATGATGAGGACATCAGAAATGCAAAATAACCTTGTCTCATTCACGTCAGTAATTCCTGTCGATGTTGATGTCTGGGTCAGACTGTCTTGCTCATTGCCAGAAGTACGCATTTCAAAATCACCTTCACTATCACTCCTTGAAAAAACTCCACTGATTCTTCAATTTTAATTAGTTTGTTTCACATTACATTTAAACAAAAACGCAAATAAATTTCAGGGTACAAAAATTACCGATCACTGAGCAAAGTCCAAGGCAAACAAAGATATACAATGATGCGATATGCTATCTTACTAGTCTGATCATACGTGATATAGTGTTTAATCGTAAGTAAATAGGTCACTTGGATCTAAATATTTCTAATGTTTGTTGCCCTTTAACCCCTGAGAACTGTTATTAACTGTCTGTGAGAAAATTAGAATAACATATTCTCATTTAAAGCAGCAAAGGCATAGAAACTGCAAGCCAAGTTGTTCATAACAGTCTGTAGGCAAACGACAAAACACACTCGTAGCAGTGAAGGGGTTAAATCAGTTAAAACATTCAGAATGACAAGATTTTTTTTTTTAATTGTACTGTATACACATACTAAAGCTAAAACAAACATGAAATATTGCTTCTTTATTCTGCTTTCACCCTTAAAAGTAGTCCTAGCCCATTATATAGTGGTTCAAAGCTGTGACGAAGTATCTGCATTTTTCAGCCTCAACACCTCTGATTTCAGCAAACTGCTTTTGTAAAAGGTGCTTGTTAGGAAGAAGTCTACGTCTGTAGCTTTGTCACTATGAATTCGCAACAAATTCTATGGTGCCAGGTTAGATTATCACTGCTGGCAATTTGGCAGCGGACCGCCTTGCATTCACTTCAATAACAGTATTGAGAGCCGGCCATTAAAAGAAAACACTGGCAAACTACTGAACATAAAATTGCCTAGTGAAATCACAAACAGCCAGCAAATGATGGGGTTGGTTTTGAAAAGTCCTAGAGAAATGTGTACATTTTTTCTTTTTTAGGGGACTGGGTTCTTATGAATGACAAATCTTTGGACCCATCAAAGATGCAGACAGCGGTGAATGGAGAGTGAGAAGCAAGAACGAAATTCATAATCTAAATCACCACTGATCACTGGCATCATGAGAGCTAATAGACTGAAATGGTTGGGGCATATTGAAAGAATGTCAGATGACAGAGAGGTAAAAACTGTATGGAGAGATAATAATCCAGACAGACCTGCAAACACTTGGTGTCACCAACTAAAAAAAAAGAGAGAAGGCCAACGAGAGAGATGAATGGAGGTGGGTGATATCTCCGGCAATGTTTCCCTCTTCAATACTGGATATCTTCCAGAACCTCTACACATCTCAGTTGAATTAGTCTTTCAGTCTATGAATTCCCTATATGTTCTTTTGCACTCTCCGTTTCATCCTATGGAGCCTCCACCACATCCGCTTTATCATTTGGCAGCTCATTGCCCAGAGCAGCGACAGAAGCTAATCTATATCAGCCTCCTCATTACCTTGCACACCTGAATATTCTGGACCGAAAATCCATGGTATGCTCTTGATCTGCGTCTTACCAAGTCACACAAGCCACTCTGTGTGCAGGACATGAGCCAGGAATATAATGTCACACTGTCTCACCAAGTCACACAAGCCACTCTGTGTGCAGGATACAAGCAAAAATATAATGTCACTGACTTATTCCAGCTTTACAGACACAAAGAGAATGTTATCTTATGCCAGTTTCATGGATATAAATAGACTTGCAATTTTTCTCCTTCTCCACAAGGGTTTTATAAATATTTATACAATGAGATTTTTAAAAACAACAACAACAAAGTAAGGGAAGTTTTCTGTTCCAAGGGACATACCTGTGTTCCTTGAGAACTTTCTCTACTTTATTCTTAGCTATATTCCACACATACAGATTCCCATCACTGGAGCCGGCAGCCACATACTCAACATCTGGGCTTTGGTGAACAAAAATGGCAACTATCAAGATAATTTAAAATTTGATTTGGTTTTAATGAAATACTGGTAACCAATTATTTACGATTTAGATTTTGACAGAAATAATAGCAGTTAAAGCAGCATGAATTAATGAAACATATTTTTAAAAAGACTGAGAAGAAGATGGACTGAAGGAGTCACTGTCACCTTGAGACTGCATAATATCATGGTATATCAAGTGACTGAGCGTGCCCTGGCTTGGCTGCCAATTGTCTGATGAACAGCGACACCTAGCGGCATAAGCAGATATTGACAAAAGAAAGAAGAAGATTTATTTAATTATTTAAAAAAAAAAATTTTTAATTAAAATTCAGATCTTTTCCATGAACTTCAGCTGTCTGGGACCCCCAGCAAGCTTTGTTTTTATCCAAAATGGCAACGAGACACCTTTACATTTCATATTTTGATTTTGTGGAAGTGGCCACACCAAGAGCAACCGTCTTGATGGCTGGCTAAGCTACAAAAGTGAAGCAGGGGTTATTTCCTACTATAAGGGTATGTCCAATCTCGAGTACACAAAGACTAAGATGGTGAACACGGCAGATGAATCTATCAAGATAATTGTCATGTAAAGGGAAACAGTACAGTGTGTGGGACACCATAAGCAAGTGCTGTTCAGGGCATGATAGAAAACATGGCTGGCCATCGTGGAAGAGACTGGTACATCACAATGTGACATCCTAAAGTTAGCAATGGAATCACAATCAAACAGAAATATTGGAGACAGCACCTGATTGACTGATTTTGATGTTAACTCTCCACTTGACTGCCGTTGTCCTTTTCCATGTTTATTTTCTATCATTACCTATGTTAAAGTTAGTTGTGCATCCTTTACAGGACACTGCAAAACCAACCCCAGCATTTTTTAGCTGTTGTGGTTTTTCAGGGCAATTTACGTCCAGTAGTTTACCATTGTCTTCTGGACGGTCGGCTACTCGATACCACTGTCGAGACCAACACAAGGCCTACAGCATGGATCGAACCCGGCACCACAGCATTACGAAGTGTGTTCGCAATGCCTAAACCACATATGCAGACATCTTTAACTATTGCATAGTTTTAAAAAAAATTTACTTTGCCTGTTAATGCACTCAAGATATTTTTCTTATCTTACCTTAATTTTACTTAATAATTCTATTTCTCTATTCAACTTTAAAAAAAAATACTTTGTAAATTTTGTGAACTGCGGTGCTGTAGCTGCTAGACTCTTGCCCCTGCTGCCTGGCCAGAAGGCTGTTGGTTCTAAATCGCATTTAGTGGGATTTTTTCCCAAAATGATCTTAGCTACCAGGTCGACATAGCCTAAAATAGATACTATCTGCTTTTATGTACAATTTTTATAAAGCATTTTAATGGAAATAGTGTTGAAACAAATTAATGTTACTTAAAATCTGTTAATCAAAATGGAACTTAATCGTAAGTCGAGTAGACTCTGCATTAGGAAATATCCTAGGAAGTAAAGTCTCCATCATGATGCTACAAGTCACTTAGTGTCACATTTTTTCTTTAAAACACATGGGTCTAGCATCATATGCCTAATGTGCCAATAGTGTGGAAAGTATTCTTCATTTTTACACAGCTAGATTTGTAAGCCACAGTGACAGACTGAATCTGTCTGGCTGATTTGGGAAAAACAAAACAAACAGTTGTCAAGTTCAACCAGCTTCTTTCCAAAAGGGAGCTTTTGGTTATAATTGTGACTGTATTTCTCAGGGCAACTTTGTTGGCTAAAATTAAGATTGACCTTTCTGTGTCACATTGAAAAAATATATTTAAAAAAACTAAGACAGACTGAAACATTTTAACATGGAAATAGTTTGGCTATTTCTTCTTCTTCTTATTGACATTTTAAAATATCTGAACATCAAGGAAGATTGGCTAATAAACAGCATCTTGTCTCGGAAGCTGAAATATTCTGGCTATTGCGGACTGGAAAAAATAATAGCAGAAGGCATGGTACCAGATAGAAGGGGGAGACCAACAAGAAGATGGGTACAGGATATAAGTGACTCCTTGAATATGAAAGTACACGAGGCAGGAGCGCTGGCGAGAGAAAGAGTTTCTTTTAGGCAGACCGTGATGAGAGCAACGTTCTGCAAAGGACCTGCCACATGATACGACTGCCTAAATCAACGTGAAGTGATCTACTGACAAATCACCTGCCGCTTGAATCGGACGTGGTATCCCAGAATTATTAAGCCCGTTTGCAAACCCTAAGCCAGACATTAAAATCTCTGTAGAAAAAAAAAAGAAACAATTTTTGGTTATTTGAAGCACACCCCCCCCCCCCCCCCCCCCTTCCCGACTGTAGTCAGGGGCCCAAATATAACTTAACGCTTGAAAAGGGTTTCTGGGACTTGTGCTGGGTGATCCTAATCTGAATGGTGGCAATCTGTGTAACCAGGTGTTGGTCGCTCATTGTACGAGATTGAATCACATACACATGAGAAAACATAACATACCTGAACACAGCTCTGGCAGAATCCCAGCCAACCTTGAAACCATCTGAACTAAACAAGAGAAATACAAGAAACATGTCAACACATACAGAATATTTTTAAAGCAACACATTTCCTCTACATTCATCTTCAGGCGGGGCAGCTGGAATGCTGAATTGTGGTTTACAGCTATGCTGCGATACCTGCGCCTTTTGGTTCAACACATCTGATTTCACCAAATTCCTAATTAATCAGCGCACACAACATGCTTTTCAGGGGGTGGTGATTCTATTATTTTTCCATAACCCACGTGTGGAGTAACAGACTGTACTGTTGCGACGTCTGTGACTACTTTTGGGTAGTAACAGACTACACTGTTGCCATGTCTGTGACTACTTTTGGGTAGTAACAGACTGTACTTTTGCCATGTCTGTGACTACTTTTGGGTAGTAACAGACTGTACTGTTGCCATGTCTGCGACTACTTTTGGTAAGTACCAATAGGGTTCATTCTTTTTTGTTTTACCCGCTGCAATGTACCGTGGGTCTGAAGTTGCAATATAAAGAAAAATTTGTTGTACATCCTTTTTAGGACGTCGCAAACTAATCCCAACATATATTGGCTGTAGCAGTTTTATAAAGTAAGTTTATTGTTTAGTACATAAGTCACCACTGCTTTCCGATTGGTATGATGCTGATACTGTCAATATCTATGTAAAAAGTTGTGCTTTAAAAACACTGCAGTTGATTCTGAACCCTGAAATTCAGGACTGTGTAGCTAGGTTCACAATCCCCAAGAAACACATGTTGACAGCAATTTTTTTTAAGTGTTTAAAAAAACAAAACAAAGGTAGAGCAAACAATAAAATAAAAGATAATAATGAAGAAAAAAGATGAAGAATAAGTACAATGATATAAAAAAAAAGATTTCAGGAGGAAGACGAAAAAAACGGGATAAAAATGATGAAAGAGAACAAAAACAAACATGAACAGGTACACAAAAGGTGGCAGTGAATAAGCTGGAGAAGGTGAGAAAGAATACTTACACTAAAGTGCAGGATACCTGATTCATTCTCAGGTCTAAAATCTTCAAACAGTCATCTCTGGTACAACATAAAAGCTGGCTTTTGTCTGGAATAGATATGCAAAGATGCCGAGATCAACAACTTGTGGTCAACTATGGAATTTGATTAGTTTCAAAGAAGTGATTTTTTTTCTGGCCTGGAAAAGAGAAGACAAAGAGATCAACAAATTGTGGTAAATCTTGACTTGAGCTGCGAACAATGCCTCGGTGCATGAACATACAAACATGGCTTTGGCACCATGTTTTCAGATCATAAACAGCAGTAGTCATTAAATTAATCCTCATTATGACTCCCTAAAAAGTGAAAAGTGTTAGTGACAGAGGTGTAAAGAAGCTTAAACATACTACAATAGAAAAAAAAAAAGGAAGGAAGGAATAACTAAACAAGTTGTTGTTATCGATCCAGCGGCGCATGAGCTTTCGTCCTCTGGCCCAATGCCATGTAGTAGAATTCGCATGTTTTCATAAGCCGTTCTTTTCCTCCGTACAAGGTGTTCCACTTGTCTGGTCTCGGAGGGAGTAGCATTCTTCTAGTCTCGCTGAGTTCTGGGCACTCAAACTTTGTAACTAAACAAGAGAATGATGTTTGTCTTTCTAATCTCGCCAAGCAGTAGGACATGGCTAAGTTTATGATCTGTACTATATTAAACAACAAAGACGCTCCTAAGTGTCCAAGTGCCAAGAAGGGACAAAGTTTGCAACCAAACAATACGTCATGATCTTGAAACCCAGGCCTTGCAAACCCAAATGGATCAGTCACAGTTACAATGGTCTAGAGATGTATGCAGGATGGAAGAGAACCAGCCACCACAGCAGGCATGGGAGCCAAGAACCAGGGAACCAGACTTCCAGGATGACCCAAAGTTCGCTGGGTTTCAACATCTGACAGTTTCTGACTGATAGAGGGCTGGAGGGAAAACAAAGTCAAAAAGAGAACTACTGAGAGAGAATTCTGGAGATCTTTCCGGCAAATCTTTAAGGTAGAAGAGATGGAAGAGAATCGACTAAGTAAGTATGGTTAGCATAGGACTGGATACTTCTTCTTCTTTCTTTTGTCAATTTCTGCATATGCCACTAAGTATCACAATTCATCAGACGATCGGCAGCCGAGCCAGGGGGTGCTCGGTCGCTTGATATGCCGTGATGTTATGATGTCTCAAGGTGTCAGTGACTCCTTCAATCCATATTCTTCTGGCTCTTACCCTGCCTCTTGGTGTTTCGATTTTCAGGTTGTGCACCACTGACATCGTTGGTTTTATTCTCATTAGATGGCCATACCATTTCATTCTTTGTTTCTCAATAAATCTGACAATGGGTGTTGTTCCAACAGTTCTTGTGATCACGTCATTTCTCACTTGATCTCTTCTGGTTTTATTCACAGCCATTCTCAAACATCTCATCTGGTAAGTTTTCTCTTGTGTTCTTTTGTTAATGTCCAAGCCTGACACTAGAAAGCTAAAGTCGGTATAAATATTGTATTTATAATTTTTGTCTTTTTTGTCTCTATCGGGATAGCAGGGTGTTTTAAAATTGGAGCAAGCTTGAATTCTCATTTCTCTTTCTCTGTCTATTTTACCATTGTATGGAAAGATGCTGCCCAAGAATTTACATTCTTGCTCTTGTTTCAAACTTTGATCTTTGATCTTTATGTCGATGGTTTGTTGCTCTCTACTTATTCTCATGACTCCTGTTTTTTCAATATTGATCTTCATGTGATGTTTTAGGCAACTGTCGTGTAGTCGGTTTATGTGGTCCTGCAGCGGTTTACTCTCACTGTGGAATATGCACTGATTGTCGACAAAGAGCAGCTCATTGAAGTCCTCCTGTTTATTGACATCTGGTGGTGTTACGTCTATTTTATTAATATTGTCCATGAATACAATAAAAAGTAAAGGTGAAAGAACACCTCCCTGCCTTACTCCTGATGTTACTGGGAACCAGTCTGTGAGGCCAGCTCTTGTTCTGATGTCGCTTTCACTTTCTCTATAAAGAGCTCTTACACAATCTAGCATTGTTCCATTTATATTATAGTTTTCAAGGACATCCTATAGTGAATCTCTGTTCATTGAGGAAAACCTTTTCTTGATCTATAAAAGTGATGTTCATTTGCTACCTCTGTGAGACCACAAACATTCCAAGTTTCGATTTTAGTCGATTGGCTAGTTTGTTTACAATTAGTGTGAGATAGCTGACCTGTTCTCGAGCCCTGTTTGCTGTTTCGTCTCATGGATTTCCTAATGTCATATACAGCTTCTAGAGCAGAGTTATTGTGAACTTTTAAATCCACTGCCGTTTTGCTGGACCTGCCGCAGTTTCATCTTTAAAAGAACACTAATTACACATAAATCACATCAAGAACCCTGACAAAAATGCCACAACCGTTGAATAACGTACACTGTTTACATTGCCAATGCCATACAAATTTTTTTTTAGCTGCAAACACCAACCATTATGAATCAAGTAAAGTTGGTTGAAGAACTAAACTACACTGGGAGAAAAATAGGCGGTAGAAGCAGAAACTCACCTGTTGATAAACATAAAGATGTCAGTCTGCCTGTTAGAAGAATCTCATTGATGCTGCTGTCTCCGGATGTCCGAATGTCCCAGAACCTAACCCGCTTGTCAAAGTGACCACTAATAATGCTGGTGCCATGAGAACTGACCAGGTCATTACAGCTGCTGCCTGCAAAGATTGTCTTTACACCTGGGAAGAAAGTGTGGAAGAGTACCACTGAGAGTGAAGTAAGTAAATGACCATATCCTCCTCTTCTTCTTTTCATTCTCCCTAACAGGGGTTTTAAGATGAGAATGCCACAGGCCTCTATGAAGGTTGTGGTGCCACGCATGTCCTCCACTGATCCACACAGCCTGGTCAACTGGCCAAATCTAGGACCTCTCTACTTGTATGTATTTTGTGGTGCTTGTGGACACTGTCCTGCCATTGGATCAAGTTGGACACAGGCGAGAGAGGGAGGTCGACAAATTGCGCATCTCTTCCTCACTTATATCTAAGTCATTGCACAAGTCACTTTCATCCAGCTATCACTTTGGATGAAAGTGGTCTTCATCACTCGTGATGGATGAACAACAGCATCTTGGTAAAGTTCTGAGTCCCAATTTTTAAATTTCTTGTGCATCTAGCTGTGGCATCTGCTGTGTCCAGTTCTGGTTTTTTCAAGTTAGTAGGTTGACTGGTTCTTCACAAGGCCAATTAGTGCACTTCATTTTATCATAATATTCCAATGGCCACAGATGTTCCCCAGCAAATTGTAGATATACGACGGGGCTTCAAACGGAAGTCATTACTCGGTGTGCATAACTCAGTCATAAACAGTGTGTCACGGAAGTCACACTGTTCTGAAACTTCCCACCTCACTTATACACTTGCTGGGCTGACAGGCATGCATCGCTGTATTGGACCTTCATTCGCCGAAGAATTTCTATAGGTTTCACTGATTTAGACAAATGGATAAGAGAATGCTGCTCCTCTTTGGTGCATGTCAAAAGTGGGGTGCTATCTTCAAACTATCATTATGACATCATTGTTTTTGTCTACACTGTGACTTTCATGCTTAACACTCTTGACATCCTTAACAACAATATTGACAGTTTACAAGGCAAGGGTTATTATAATTTCTACCACAGTTAAAAGATTTTCATTTAAAGCCCTCTCATATCTTATATCAATTTGTTGAGATGTTGCTATTAATTCTTAGCCATGAAATTTGTTTTAACAAAATATTACATTTACTATCTGCAAAATCTGACCTGAGAAATGTAATATAACAAAATGATACTTACAAGCTTTACTGTTTAAGTCCCATACTTTGAGAGTTCTGTCATGACTCCCTGAAACAATTTTACTTTCTGTCAAGAACTTGGCAGACATGACTTTGCCACTGTGACCTGTCAGTGTGTGCTAGAAATAAAATGGCAACTCTTGTCAACATTTCAAAACACTGTCAAAGTTCTTTTATATGTTCACAGTAATCACCATAATCATTTGGGATGACACGTGCGTGTGTGTGTATGCACACCTGTATGTGCATGTGTGTGTGCTCGCAAGTGTGTGTGTGTGTGTGTGTGTGTGTGTGTGTGGGGGGGGGGGACAACCTTCTAAGTAATCAATGTTTCTTATAAATATGGAGCCTCATCATTGCTAACCTGTATTTAATGACACTACTAACATTTTTTTTTTTAATAAAAAGGAACTCACACGTAATCTCTGATCATTAATTGTCCACACTCTACTAGCAAAGTCATTGGAAGCACCAACTATCATCAAGTCCTGAAATTAAACAGAAAAGATGTTGAAATAAAAGTCTCCTTCATCTTCAGTAATTATTACTTTCCACCCCTCCTAAAATTGTATGCTGGTGAAGTGCTTTATCATTTGTTGCCCACTGGGTGTTTAAAGTTTTCCACATAGTAAACAGTGGGAAGGCGCAGATAGACCATTACGGTCTACGGAGAATGGCGCTGCGAGGAGTTACCAGTGGATCTGGCCGACACTCAACACTCAGGGGAAGGATGAGACAGATAAACAATGAGATGGTTACTGGTATCATCGGAATTGGAACTCTTCGCTTGCTGCTTAAGATGGGGGACTGAGCACTTATGGAAGTGTCCCAAGCGCTGTGATGTAGATTCTTAATTCAACAATCAACATTCAGCTTTCCACATACAACTTTCTGAGTCTTCCTATGCCCATCTTGCTTAGCATAATGCCCATTATTCTATTTCTTCCGTTGATACACTCTTAAAATTTCATTTTTTCTTTATGGTTTTTATGTGTGAAATTGTCATCTCCTACAGTTCTAAATACTATAGCCTGCTTTTTCTCTCAGCTGTCTGAGTCATTACAACATCGGGCTCTTATGTGGGAGACCAGGGTTCAAAACCCAGTAAGGTGATGGAGATTTTCTGTCGGGTGCAAAATCAAACATCCAACCTGTACAGTCGGTGGTGACAGCACTAACGTTGCCGCCCAAAATACTCAGGCTCACAACTCCTTTGCCTACACTGCTCTAAAAAGTGGTATATATATATATATATATATATATATATATATATATATATATATATATATATATATATATATATATATATATATATATATATATATATATATATATATATATATATATAGAGAGAGAGAGAGAGAGAGAGAGAGAGAGAGAGACATTAGTGACAGTTTAACAGTGTTTTTCTCTGTCTATATTTTCAATTTTCAACATTCTGCTGAAATCCACCTATGGGAACTCATATGTTGAATGTTGAATGTTGAATCAAGAATCGACATCACAGCACTCAGGACACTCCCATAAGTGCTCAGTCCCCATCTTCAGAAGCAAATAAAGAGTTCAAATTCCGATGGTACCAGTAACCGTCTGTCTGTACATCCATCTCATCCCTCCCCCGAGTGTTAAGCGTCGGCCAGATCCCCTGGTAGCTCCTCGCAGCACCATTCTCCTTAGACCGTAATGATCTATCTGCGCCTTCGCACTGTTCACTTGCTCCCAAAAGGCCTCTTGAACTCATCATCTGCTGAAATAAAAGCATGTAGGAAAGTAAAGTTAAAGACCCTTCAAATGACTGGTCAACAGGGACATGAAGCTAGATTCATATCTTTATAGACAACTCGCACTTCATGGGTCCTGTATCATTCCAGCCACTTTTACTTCCCAGGAACCTGGTATCTATTTTAAGCTGGCTCAATTGGGAGCCAAGGTCAATTTTAGAAAACAAAACAAAACACACAAATCTGCCAAGAGTTGGATTCAAACCCAAGACCTTGAGACAAGCAGATGAACATCTAGCCACTATACTAGTGCGACTCAAAAGCACAGATGTCAATGAAATATTTACTATACTTGATCATGACACTCAAGTCAGATTATTACTGCACTTTATCATCACACTCAGACAGATGCTTCTATACTTTACTGTCACACTCAGATTGATGTTTACTATACTTGATCATCCCACTCAGATGTTTACTATATATTATCCTCACACTCAGTCAAATGTTTGCTATACTTTATCGTCTCACTCAGACAGATGTTTCCATACTTTATCATCACACTCAGACAGCATTCTGTGCATCTGTGAGGCTTTGAGGTTAGTAAAATAGTTTCCTAATGCAACCCTTTGCATTTACTGGGGTTTGATTCCCCCAGTGGGTGGTTTGGATAAAAACCGTTCTTGTGATTTTCTTACAGTGGTACAAGAGCTGCACCGTGGAAGAGATTGGGGCCTCACCACATAATATTCTCACAGTCAGCACTAAATACATTGCAGCCAACCTCCACTGTGTAGACAGCACAATTTTTTTAATGTAAGGATGATGCATGAAGTGGCAATGGTTGCAGTTATTATGACCTAAACAGTAGATGATGCAATCCTAAGTAATAGTATGAAAATATCATTTGCCAGGTGGTCTTAAACTTTCAGCTACCACTGTGATAAAAATTACACACACACACACACAAAAACAACCTAATTAACAGGAATTATTTTTAAAATGTCAAAACACAATGTAAACAATCTTCTTCTTTGCATACACTAGCTGTAAACTCTGGCAGAAAGTTCTCGTTTATCAACCTCTGAAATTTAGCCTCGCTCCAGAACCTGAAGTTTTGCGTGCACATCCATTCAACACATCTGACTTAATTGTATGCAGATTGTTGGTTTTTTGCCTCTCAGGCAGATGCCCTCAGACTTCGAAGGTAGCCCCCAGTTAGTCAACTTTTACAACATGCTTGTTGGGGAGGCAGTAGATCTGGTCTCGTTTTCCCCACAAGAGGGCCCAGGAACCCTAACGGGAAAAACAACTAATGAACATGAAAGATAATTCTCACATCTTGACTAAAATCCAGGGAGGTTATTCCAGCATTACTTCCTACTAAGGTTCCTTTCGACTCACAGAGACCTGGGTAGAGGGAAAAATATAGATAAGTATGTGTGTACTGTGTGTACATGATAGAGAGTTTGTACTTTGTCTTCTTTGCTTGGGATGATTTACACTGTTGTTTTACAGTCTCCTCAAGGAGAGACGTCTTCAGTGGCTGTGATATGTATCTCAAATGGACGATGGACATATTCCAAATAATCTCCTTACAGAGAACTAGTCACAAAGAAGATGCCACAAGGCACAAGTATAAAATGCAGTCTCTAACTGCAGGACCTGCCCCATCTTACAGATGCAGAAATTGTGAGAAAGACTGTCACTTTCCCAATGGACTATTTAGTCACAGGTAGCACTGTCTGGTGTCTGACCAGCGCACAACCTTATAGTCCTGCAGGCCTGACAGGAGGCCTACTACTACGAACCTACTAGTTTACAGCTAGGCTGCAATATCTGCACTTTCGGCCCAGTACATTTGGAAAGTTCTGGTTGTTCATCTACTTCTGGACTTAAGAATTTCTCCAGAACTTGGGTTTTGTGTGCACATCCATTTTACAGATCTGGCTTATTTGTATACAGAGTGTTGGTTCCTCACCTCTCAGGTCAATGCACTCTGAAGAAAACACCACTAATTAGTTGGGGTGGGGGGGGACTACTACTTGCCATCGCCCACAGCAATGGGACTCCAGATCCCACATGAGGAGCTGGACAGTTTGACATAATGGCTTAGAAGATCATCAGTGTCAGAACTGAATGAAGGTACATAAGACAGAAGGGGTGTGGTTAGGAATGACTACCAACGCCACATGGCAGGAACTATGACAAGGGAGAAAGGCAACGCCATAAACCTCTAAAAACACACACAACAGGAAGTCTCCGTAGCACAGTGGATGGACACTAGCCTGCCAGGCCAAAGGTCTTGGGTTCATTTCTAAACTGAGATGGATTTTTATAATTTACTTAGACTCAGAGGTTTGCCCAGCCTAAAATGGGTTGCAGGAAATCTCCTGGGAAGCAAAGGTGTCCAAACAATGTAGACTGTCTTCTTCAGATGCATGTTTTCTTTTCTCTTAAGAAGTTAATTTCTTTCAAGACAACTTCACTACACTTAGTATCTGCTTATGGTGTTCACATCATTCTTCTTTAATACCACAACTCTGAAGCATCAATAAAGTTTTAGTTTAATAAATGTTATGTTTTGTTATGTTATCACAAGTGACGTCACTGCACATTAGACATTCACAAGCATGCTCAGTCCTCCAATGCAGCAGCCACTCCAAGGTACCTCTACTGACTGATCCCATGAGAGCTGGTTATGTCTCCTTCCTTGGTATTGAAGTTGGCGAAGATGTGTTTTACCATGCTCACGCTTTACTCTGATGTCATGCAATCATGTTAGTGTATGAGATTTGACATTATCCACTGACCTAGTCCGTATAGTGTTGACATCTTCTCAGTCCATGTTTCCTCCCATATGTGTTTGTCATAAATAAACAGAGGGGGAACCCTTGAGGACTTAAAATATATTATAATAATAAAGCTATGGAAACATGTGCACTAAGAACTTGGAACAGGGGGTGCCTAGTTGACCATGTTTTTAGTGCACCTGTTTCCATAGTGAGGCGCACACGTGGTCTGGTTCAACTCCGGGCACGGCAACTATAGCTTTTGATTTTAATGTTGTCTAGTGTGTTCTTCTTTCTACTTCTTTCTATGAGTGCCGATCAATACATTTTCTGCTACTTTATAAACATATGTGTTTTTGCACTACTCTCCAGCTGATCCCCACTTTCGTTAAGTTTAATAAATTCACACAGCAGTATGCAATTTATCTCTACGAGGACATTGCCCATACACAGCAGGCTGTCCCAAGGCACTGTGCCTACAGTGGCATACTCTGCTTAGTACAGCCAAAATGATGTTTTAATTTTCTGACTAAACATCATTTGTAACAATAAAGTGAACAAGAAGAACAAGCAAGTAACTACAAACACCATTATAACAGTTTGAGGTGCACAATGCCATTACTCCCAGCCTACCTCCATGGCCTTCCCAGAGTTTGATTTTCCTGTCGGCACCACCTGTAGCAAAATATCCACCAGAACAGCTCCACTGAACAGAATACACCTCGCCTTCATGGGCATCCTGTGTGGGAGAGTATACAAATAGATGTCATCATAGTAGTCTTGTTAGCTACTGTCATAAGAGGAGGCAAGTTGCTAGTATTGCATCTTCTTGTGGTGGGTGTTATAGAAGTTAAAATATAAAATTATTCAACCACGCCCCCCCCCCCCCTCCTCTTCGAAAAAAGTTAAGCAAAGGATCCTTTCTATGCCTACTGGAGCTGGAGCATCTGGCAAAGAGTGCTGAACCTATATTTATAAACATCCATTGGCACCTGATGGGTGACGTGGTCAACATCTCCCTTGCTGCTTCTACTCCCCAAGACATTAGCTAGTATCTGTTTTAGGATGGGACAACCTGGCAGCCAAGGTCAATTTTCCAAAAAAATCCTTGACTTTCTGGCTGGCAGGTAAAGTCTGGCCACTACGTTGCTGCAGTTTCCTTTTTTTTTTTTTGGGTGTTGATTATTTAAAGTATTTCAGTCTCTACCAATTATTTCAACATACCAATGAGAATTTAAGTTTCTGTCATTCTCTGATTATCATTTCAACATATATTCATTTCTCAATTTCTCTCTCCACTGTGAAATCAGCAAATTTTTTTTTCTAACCTCATTTGATATACATTTTGTGACAAAGTACATTTGGATCGGCATGTGCTTTTTATTTTTTAAAGTGTTTCATGTGCAAATGTCAGCTTGTCGTAATTAACTGCTTTCATCAACACTGAGCTGCAATTCAGGTGAGGGACTGTTAGTGTTGGCACATCTAGTAGCTGCCTAGTGCATTATGCATGTGAATCCACTAATACAGGAACAGAGCAAATATGGGGGTGACCCATCTGCCATGAAATTGGAACCTTGAAAAATGGCTGATGATTTAATGTAATTTAAACTTACCATAAGAGAAGTTATGTCAGGGAGATGATAAGTTTACTAATAACCAAACAAACACACTTAAGACTAAATATGACTTACAAATACATTCTGAGCCCGTGATGGCACAGAGGCATAGACACACACTGGTATATACACCTCTAAGGGTCCCTTGCTGTAGAAGAAAAATACATGTCAGTCAACCAGAAGGATTAGGATTGGTGAAAAAATTTTCAGAAATTTACTACATTTAGGATTAGAGGAAAATATGCAAAAACTCATTAGGAGGCTTAGGATCAGAAAAACTAAGAAATTAATTTGAGAAAAATATACAGAAATTGACGGCTGGTAAAATTAATACAAATGTACAGAAACTGACAGCTGGTAAAATAAATAAAAATATACAGAAATTGACGGCTGGCAAAATAAAAAAAAGAAGTATACAGAAATAGAAAGCTGGTAAAATAAATAAACATATACGGAAATTGACAGCTGGTAAAATAAACAAAAATAACAGAAATTGATGGCAGGTAGAATAAATAAAAATATACAGAAATTGACAGCTGGTTATAAAAAAAATACAAATATACAGAAATTGATTGCAGGTAGAATAAATAAAAATATACAGAAATTGATTGCAGGTAGAATAAATAAAAATATACAGAAATTGATTGCAGGTAGAATAAATAAAAATATACAGAAATTGACGGCTGGTAAAATAAATACAAATATATAGAAAATGATGGCTGGTAAAATAAATAAAATATACAGAGACGAACGAACATAAGACTAGGACTGTGTAAATCTAGGATGAGAGCCAGAGCATGTTGGCTATCCGTTGCAGCCGACCTTCCTTGTGGAGACAGCATCTGACCAACTGTTGCAGAAACTGACTGGGGGGGGGTCTAGGATAATATACAAATGTAGAGACGCTGGTTAGGGAGCCGCCATGGTGTAGCGGCTGGGAGCTCATCTCTGGCCAAAATGTGAAGGCTTAGATCCGCATCGAGCAAAATTTCTTTCTTCAAAAATAACATTGGCTCCCAGGTCTATCTAGCCTAAAATGAGTACCAGGTAAAGTCTTGGGAGGTAAAAGCTGCCGGAGTGATGTTGACTACATCGCCCAATGAGTGGCAGTTGATCTATAAAATATAGGGCTAGTACTAAGCCCAATAGACTTATGGCGTGGAAAAGTTTTCAAAATTTTTTTTTCTATTTTTTTATATTTTAAACTGATATTGGCTAGGTTTAGGACTGGATGAAAGAATCAGATTCAAATAAACAGAAAGTTAGTGGACAGTTAATAACTGGAGGAAATATATGCTTAAACTGCCTGAAAGATGCGATCCTGAATCCTGGCTAGAGAAAGAGAGACTTTCAGATGCGCCAGGATGAGAGTGACATTCTGTAAAGAACCCCGTGAGTGGTGATAACGAGGACCAGGTTTTTAAATGTGCCCATACATTTTTTCCATGAACTAACACAATAACAAACCTTACGTCATCTGAGAAAATCAGACAGTCATTCCATTTTTTTAAGAATTAGCACATAAATATAGCATATATCACCAAAGTGACAAACACAAATAAAACTTATCTCACCAAAGTCAATCAAACCTTCAGGTCAATTTCTGTACAGATGAACACAATGAAACATCACAGGTCACTAAGTTAGTCATATATTCATGCAATTCTCTCCACAAACTTACACTTTAATTTAGATAAATCATATAATGATGTAATTTTCTTTTAAAAAAAACTAACACATCATATATATATTCTAAGTAAATAAAATATTCACCATATAATCTTCCAATATACTAATACATAAGTATATATGTCATCAATGTAAATCATATATTTATGTTATTTCCCCAAAACTAACATATTTATAGTATATGTCACCTAAGAAAACTATGTATTCATGTCAAGTCACTTAAACAGCTCACAGATATATAAACCATATAACACCTTTATCACCTCCATAAGCCACGGGTACCCGCACAAACAACATGCCACAAAAAGTTATCACACAGTATCGTCATTCATAAAACACCACAGGCATAAATTATATGCCATCTGTTTATATAACTTGCCAGCTAAATTTACCATCTGTCGGCCATATAAACTTTCTGTCAACGACATTAACGATCTGTTGCCTATACAGATAAGACATAGCAGCTACTCACTTGGTATCAACTGTTACTTGTTCTTTGGCTGCCTCTTCAAGATCTCGTGCTAATCTTTGCTGTCTGGCTCTATAGGGAAAATATAAATATATATATATATATATATATATATATATATATATATATATATATATATATATATATATATATATATATATATATATATATATATATATATATATATATATATATAATAAGGCACATGCTGACACCTACCAGTTAGCCCACTGCTTAAAAAATCCAACACCCGAATGTCTCTCTTCCAGCAAAACAGCAAATGATTAATAGCATCTTTATCTGTAAAACTGATGCACACGCAACACTCAGGTTGTGGAGCAGGACTGCAGTTCAGTAGTGGACGAGCAACCAGAACTTTCCGCCAGAGTGTACAGCTGGTGAACGCAAAGAAGAAGAAGAAGAAACGAGGTGATCACTAGAAATGTTGGAACAACATGCATCGTCAAATTTACTGAGAAACAAAGTGAAATGGTTTGGCCATCTAATGAGAATGAAACCAACGATGCAGCAGCAAGAGCGTATAACCTGAAAATCACAACACCAAGAAGCAGGGGAAGACCAAGAAGGATATGGATTGAAGGAAGTCACTGACATCTTGAGACTGCACAACATCATGGCACATCAAGCGACCGAGTGAGCCCTTGCTCAGCTGCCAAACGTCTGATGAACTGCAATGCCTAGCAGCACAAGTAGATATTGACAAAAGAAGAAAGAAAGAAGAATGATAAACATAAACATGAATGAATACTGCATCACACTCTGAAACTGATCAGGAAATTAATAACAGATATCTCTCTTTTCCTCTTCTCTCCTCTATCCCCTAACACAGAGTAGGACCTAAACCAAGTCCACTTATCCTTTGTTATCACGTGCAGCTCATCCCCATGCCCTCCCATTTTTTTTTCACTTAACTCTAATTCCCTTCTAACTGTGCTTTTTGGTCTGCCTTAATTCTCCCAACCTTGTGCCTCCCAAGGATATTCTAGTTACTTTGTATCAGGTTTTCTCAATGAATATCTCTTCAACTTGATGAATCCTTCTACAATTACAATGTATCTTTTACATATCAGTGAAGATTAGATAAATGGTTTCAACAATAAAAGCTCTGTATGGTCTTGGGAACAATTAACAGAAGTAGCTCAGAGTGGCTGCTGCATCGAAAGACTCACCACACCTGGGTAAGCCCAATATACAGTGACATCGATTGTGATAACATAAAATAACTGCAGTTTTTTGTTTTGTTCTGATTTTCTAAAAATTTTTCAACTTTATCTCAGGAAAGAAAATTATTTACGTACCACAGTCAAGAGAAACTTACTTAATGAAATCTGCATTCTCAGCATTCATTTTGTCTGCATCCTTTGCCTTCTGCTCCATCCACCTTTGTACAAGGTCATTGTTGTCTTCCATGGCTTTTTGGTACTTTTCTTCTAAAGCCGTAAATGCCATCTACAATGTAATCAGTACAGGAACTCATGGTAACTTATAGCATAGATAAAAGTACTGTTGACTTCTGATTCTTTTTCTGCCTTGTATCGCCCAATGGTGCATAGGCCCTTAACCACTCATGCCAGTTCATCCTATCCTTTTCTATCGTATGCAGCTTACCCCATACCCTTCCTATCTTGTCAACAGCCCTGTCTAATTCCCTTTTTTTGATCTACCTTTATTGTATACCTTTGTGGGTTCCAGTGAAAAGACATTCTAGTTATACTGTTCTCAGGTGTTCTCAACCTATATCTGTATATCCTAATCTTCACATATTCTTTCTCTGTAATTTATTAAGTTCTCTTCCAAAGCACCAAATCAGTGATTCTATCATACCATTTAATTGTTTCTGTTCTGTGCAGGCATCAATTAAAAAAATGTACTTTATTAGTATTTTTTTATGAACCGAACAGCAGTAGTGATGTGAAGCATTATTACCCTCACTTCCTTTATATTTTGTAAATTCATCAGATAATGCTAATAGCTTTGTTCTTTATGGTTTAATCCTAACAATTTCACTAGCACAACAAACAGACTGGTAAAGAAAGACTAGTTAAAACAGAGACACTGTTAAAACATGTGAATAAAAACACTAGGCAAACACACTAGTAAAATAAACTTCAGTAAAATAATCACAATACCATGACACAAGTTAACAAAGACACTAATAAAACAATGCTGTTAATATAAGAAAGACACTAGTAAAACAATGACCTAGTAAAACAAAGACGCTAGTAAAACAATGACACTAGTAAAACAAAGATGCTAGTAAAATAAAGGCACTAGTAGGGAACTGGTAACACCAATAGTTGGACCCTGGTAACAAACAGGCGACTGTCACATTACCAGTCAAAGAATAAAACAACCTGCAGAAGTCGACATTAGAAAAGTTTACAAAAGTACCACCCTGTAGGGTGTGGCTCACAAATAACTGAGCACCACGACAACTGCAGGAACACATGAAATTAATACTGCATAAATTAATGAACTAGGTCTACCAAGACAAATAACTAATGAGCACTATTATTTCAGTCACTATGAGGATATCAGTGTCAAACATGGAGTCTATAACTAATGAGCAAAAATTGTAAACCAACAGGGAGGAGATGCCTTAGATGAACTGTCAGAGTAAAAAGGAAAGAAATAACTCATGAAGTCGGCCCACAAAGAGTGACTTTCCTTGTCATTCATCCCTGGTCGTGGGTGTCATGCTTAGTGAGCATCCAGAAACACAACAAACTTTACGTGTTGTTGACATAGACTGCATGCAGTCATGGGACATAGGCTGCACTCTCTCAATGGACGTAGGATGAGGCTGTTGCATAGGGGCGTTTGGGTTAGGCCCAGTTCTACATGTTTGGGACTGTTAAAAGCGCTCATACAGTGGAACAAAGAACACATGATATTGCTGACCGGTGACAACGGGAAAAAATGTGTTGTGTTGCTGGATGCTCACTAAGCGTGACACCCCCGCAACATAGGACAGGCCCTATGAAACGACCAGGGTTGAATGGCAAGGGAAGTCACTCTCTTTGTGGGCCTGACTTTGTGAGTTGTACCAAAGGAAAGATGCTATTAAAAGAACCAGGACTGAACCAAATCATACAATTAATTAAAGAACAAGAGATAAATGGTTGAACAAGAGATAAATGGTACCAACTACCATCAACAGCTGGTAAAAGAAGAAGAACTTATTATATTCCTGCCACTGTATCAAGCCATTTCTATTTTTAGGCTTTTCATTTGAAGTCTATTTGTATAACGAGCATAGGAAGAGGAAGACCACCAAATGTTGGAATAATGGCACCATCAACGACCTCAGTAAAATAAAGACCAACATACACAGAAAGACTGCATAGAAGTTCCTCATACTTCTCCCTGATATTTCATTTAGATAATTACAAGAAGAGAAGCAGAACTAACAAACATGCAAGACACAGATCATTATAAACTACTGCTTCTTCTTCTTCATGATCCACCAGCTGTAAACTCAGATAAAAAGTACTGGCTGTTCGTCCACTTCTGGACTTTGGCCTTGTTTCAGAACTTGAGTGCACATCCATTTTTATAGGTCTGGCTTATTTGTATCCAGACTGCTGGTTCCTCATATTGTAGGAAGATGCATCCCAACTTTTATGGAAACTCCCTAATTATTTCCCTTTTATGACATGTTTGATGGGCAGTTTGGGGAGGGGGGGGGGGGGGGGGGGGGTGCAGTGGAACTATTCTTTCTCTCCCCTCCTAAATTCAGTGAAATTATACCTGTAGAGCCTGATGTTCATCCTTCAACATCTGGTTTGTGGCCTCTAGTTCGGCTATCGTCATCTCTAGATTTTTCTTGGCTTGTTTCAAGGCTATATTTGTGGTGACTGTATCAGAAATCCTGTTCAAAAGCATCAGTAAATCAAGAGATGAGAGAAAAAGCTAGCATTTGATAGAACAAATGTTGGGAAAACCTGATAACAATAAAACTAGAATGTCCGGAAAGTTAACCAGGTCAACAAATGCTCAATGAAGTCAGATGTGTCGGTGTAAGCAGGCGCAATGTAATTACGTCACTCGGGTGATTAAAAAGAAAAAGAAGAACAAGAATCTCTTTGCACTGTAACCCACAGGGTCAAAAGAATTAAGGCAGACACCAAAAAAGCAATAAAAAAGATAGTCTACAAAGGATAGGATGCCTTGGCATGTGCTGGTTTATGGCCAATGCTCCAATGTGGGATTAAGGATAACAAAGAGACAGGAAATTGCATAGAATGAGTTAACTAGAAAGAACATGAGCTTCCTGGTTTCTAATGACGTACTTTACTTTTCTTAACTCATTGCGTGCCATCCAGAGGCTACACTAACCTACACTGTTCTAACGGTTTTTTTCTTCTTCTGTCATCTCAATACTTTTCTGTATTTGTCTTGCACTTTTCGGCTGGCCTGGGTTATAGATTTGTTCATCTCTTAGCAGGTTTCAGCTACACCATTTAGCCCTCTTTCTTGGTCTTCCCCTCGCCTTCCTCCTAGATGTTCTGCTCTAAAAAAAAATCTCATATGCAGTCTGGTCTAGCTGCATTCTTACCAGATGGCCAAACCAATTCCTTCTTTGTTTGTCAATATAATTCAGACATGGGTCTTGTTCTAACTTTCTCTCTAATGCTGGTATAGTAATCGTCTCCCTTCTTGTGCTGTTAGTGACCTTATGGAGACATCACATTTCACATGCAGTTATTTTATGTTCTAGATAAAGTAGGTATGAAGATGTTATAACGATTACTTAAATTCCTGCAAATCAGTTTCTCTCTGCAAAACGGCTAGCCGTCTGCCGAAAGCATCATACAAGGCATGAACATCGTAGCTCCAGCAACGATCCCCAGGGATTGCCATAAAAACTGCACCTCTGAATCCAGCAACACAGCTGTGAAATGACCCATGACCTGCAGAGTGTGAGGCAAACAGCTTGAACACTTCGCCACAGAGACCCTCTTTAGCACTGATGGAGTGAAGAGTAATGAGGACGATTATCAGAAGATGAAGCTGTACTCACATGGCATCTTTATGTTGAATTTCTTTCTCCTTTTCTTGTAACAAAGCATTTAGATCAATTATCTGCTGTGAATTCTGCAAACAGTGTACACAAAATAGAAATTAATTAAATATTATGTGTAAAAGAAAAGCTATGATGATTAGTCTAAGTAAAAAAATCTACATCTGATGGTTATTATAAGAGAAAAAAAGGTAAAATGTAATGATATTGTATGGTAACAGTTTAAATTTGATGATTTATTCTGAGTAAAAATTTTAATTTGATGATTATTAAGAGTAAAAGCTTGATGAGTATTCTGTGCAAAAGTTTATATCTGATGATTATTTTGAGTAACAGTTTATATTTGATTTTTATTTTAAGTAAAAATTTACATCTGATTATTATTCTGAGCAGAAGATAACCTGTATTAGAAGACTTCAAACTGTGGTCAGAGGTCATCATCATCATATACCACCCAACATGTGTGGGCTTTCATACCTCGCCATCTCACATAATTAGGTCCCTTTCATATGCGAACAACAGTACATGTTTTTAAAGCACTTCTTTTCTCACTGCATCTATTTATTAGAAAGCATGTTTTCCATCTTTCAAAAGGCTAATTATGCCATGGTGATACTTGTTACAATCCCTACAAGGCATCTTGTTTCGGTTATGATTGTCTCTCGAGAACCACTTTATCTATCTAATGGGCTCCAATTGCCCAGGGGACTTAACATCCAACACAGTTTTATCTAATATTTTTTGGGTCAAGTTATGGCTCTTGCAGTTCACAGCTTTTTCTAGCTAGTATTTATTTCTGGTGGTCACACACGTGTGAGAGATTTGACTTGCCAGACAGATATGTGATTTCTCTCAGAGATACTTCAGCTGAGTGATTTTGTGATTCTTTTTTTGTATTTGTGGCATTGTATACTCATGTAATAACCGCAACGTTCATGGTTGCATGAATTCGGAATTAGGTGTGGATCCAGCAGGAAATGATGTGTAAGAAGAGCAGCATGCTGTGTTCACACCCAGTAAAATAAATGTCAGCATCCACTCCTCAAGACATTTGCTGTGGGAGCTGGAGAATCTATGGGTATGCTACCAAATGGTATATTAGTCATCCTCTTTTCTATATATAAAACTGACTAACCTTGGCCATTCTCACCACAAAGAAAAAACTCACCTCTACTTTTCTCAACACACATTCACCCACAGCTGACTCACCTCTCCTTTTCTCAACACACATTCACCCACAGCTGACTCACCTATCCTTTTCTCAACACACATTCACCCACAGCTGACTCACCTCTCCTTTTCTCAACACACATTCACCCACAGCTGACTCACCTCTCCTTTTCTCAACACACATTCACCCACAGCTGACTCACCTCTCCTCTCTTTTTGTGCATTTCTGTAAGTTCCTCCTGTAATTTGAACAGCTTCTGTTCCAGTGCGTGTGTGCTGGCATTATTTCCTCCTCTGAAGTGATAAACAAATGAACTGTCAATGTTAAATCTATCAATACTAATTATATACTCTAGACTAGATCTGTATGCTCAAAACTGCAGAGAAAGGGACAGCTTGCCATGATAGCATTACAATTACTTTTTAAAATGAAATGACTGGCAGTAAATAATTTTAGTGGAGCAGCTGGCTACATCTTTAAGAACGCTCGGCTCTCACATGGGAGGCCCAGGTTGGAATTTATAGTAAAGTCATGGAATTTGTCTGTCAGGAAAGAGGGGAGAGAGGTGTATCCTAATGTGCACAGTGAGTGGTGTCAGCACCAGCCAAGCAGCCCTAAATCCTCAGGCTTAAAGATCCCCAACTCCCACTTCACTGTAAAAGTAGTAAGTAAATACAGGATACAAGCAGTAACTGGCAGGTTGTTGTTTTTGTTGTTGCTGTAAACAACTGAGAGTCAGTCAGTTTGTTGCTTCCCTACAATATATTGCTTAGTGTAAAAAAAAGTAAAAAAGTAAAGACGCCTATAGGCGTATAGGGCATATAGGGCTAGACCTATATTTGTATAGACCAATCGGCACAAGATGGGTAATGTGGTCAGCATCACGCATGACACACCATTTGAAAAACAAAACACTACACAGTAAGTCTACAAAATATATGGACAAACGCAAGAAAGATTACAATAATGTGCTTCTGCGAATGTAAACTTACAATCCATCTCCTCGTATCTGATGGTTGTTCTCTTCCTTGAGCCTCTCAACCTCCACCTGCAGGTGAACATTCTTCAAATGTAGCTGACTGGTTATCTCCTGAAGCCGGTTATCTGGAGAATGGTTTAACGTAATATTTTAACATTTCATCTTATTTTAAATACTTCTTCTTTATTACCTCTTTGAGTCCCAAACAATACATGATGTGTGAATCAGTCTATCTGCTGAATTCCCTCCCTAGCTTAGTTTGCTATCTAACTTTTTTTTGGTAATTGGTCAGAACACAGCTAAGAAATCTTGCTTTTCTAACGGTCACTAATACTGTTATACACTGCACAGATAAATTTTAATCAAGGGTATTTCTTCACTGACATCTTGTAAAAAACTGTGGCTACTCTTTGCTTCCCTTATAGCATGGCTACTCTTTGCTTCCCTTACAGTGTGGCTACTCTTGGCTTCCCTTACAGTGTGGCTACTCTTGGCTTCCCTTACATTGTGGCTACTCTTGGCTTCCCTTACAGTGTGGCTACTCTTGGCTTCCCTTACAGTGTGGCTACTCTTGGCTTTTCTTATAGTGTGGCTATTCTTGGCTTCCCTTACAGCATGTTACTCTTTGCTTCCCTTACAGTGTGGCTACTCTTGGCTTCCCTTTCAGTGTGGCTACTCTTGGCTTTTCTTATAGTGTGGCTATTCTTGGCTTCCCTTACAGCATGGTTACTCTTTGCTTCCCTTACAGTGTGGCTACTCTTTGATTCCCTTACAGTGTGGCTACTCTTTGCTTCCTTTACAGCATAGCTACACTTTGCTCCCCTTACAGTGTGGCTACTCTTTGCTTCCCTTACAGTGTGGCTACTCTTGGCTTCCCTTACAGCATGGCTACACTTTGCTTCCCCTGCACTGTGGTTAATCTTTGCTTCAATTACAGTGTGGCTGCTCTTTGCATCATTTACACTGTGGCTATTCTTTGCTCTCCTTACAGTGTGGCTATTCTTTCCTTCCCTGACAGCGTGACTGCTCTTTGCTTTCCCTGCACTATGATTGTTTTTTGCTTCCCTTACAGTGTGGCTATTCTTTGCTTCCCTTATAGCGTGGTCACTCTTTGCTTCCCCTGGGCTGTGGTTGTTCTTTGTTTTGTTTTTGTTTTTATAGTGAAGCTACTCTCTGCTTCCCTTACAGTATGGCTACTCTTTGTTTCCCTTACAGTGTGGTTGTTCTTTGCTTCCCTTACAGTGTGACTACTCTTTGCTTCCCCTGCACCGTGTTTGTTCTTTGCTTCTCTTATAGTGCGACTACTCTTTGTTTCCCTTACAGTGTGGCTACTCATTGCTTTCCCAGCACTGTGGTTGTTCTTTGCTTCCCAAACAGTGTGACTACTCTCTGCTTCCCTTACAGTGTGACTACTCTTTGCTTCCTCTGCACTGTGTTTGTTCTTTGCTTCCCTTACAGCGTGGCTACTCTTTGCTTCCACTGCACTGTGTTTGTTCTTTGCTTCCCTTACAGCATGGCTGCTCTTTGCTTTCTCTGCACTGTTGTTGTTCTTTGCTTCCCTTACAGTGTGACTACTCTTTGCTTTCTCTGCACTGTGTTTGTTCTTTGCTTCCCTTACAGCGTGGCTACTCTTTGCTTCCACTGCACTGTCGTTGCTCTCTGCTTCACTTTACTGTGTGACTACTGTTTGTTGCTTCCCTTGCACTGTCGTTCTTCTTTGCTTTCCTTGCACTGTTTTTGTTCTTTGCTTCCCTTACAGTGTGACTACTCTTTGCTTTCTCTGCACTGTGTTTGTTCTTTGCTTCCCTTACAGAACTGCTACTCTTTGCTTCCCCTGCACTGTGTTTGTTCTTTGTTTTCCTTACAGTGTGGTCGCTAGTTTTCTTTGTTTTTCTTTATTTGCAGAGTGGCTATTTCCCTTACAATGTATATACTTTGCTTTCCTTACAGTCTGGCTAGTTACCCCCCTTTCTTCCATCAAGGGCCCTGGTAACATACTGACTAGTAAGCTGCACACAAATCTTAAACTAAGCAGGACTAAAGGGCATACAAGGTAATAATTGGTCCTAACTTTGTTTGAATGTTCAACAGGCTATCTAGGATCTACTCCACTGGTCTGCCATCAGGGATGCAACTTTTGAAGTGAAGGTGTTGGTCAAACTCAAGCAGTATTCCAAATGGGGAAGTTGGACACATCATGGAAACATATGGGTGTTGCCTGAATCTGACTAACCCCGATTCCTATAATTCACTGTTGTTGACTTATCCTATTGATAATGTTGTTTGTTAATAATATATGACTTCTTTCTTCATGAAAAACTACTGGGGTCCATGCTGGTGTTTGCTATCTTTTACTTCTGTAAGTAGTCATTTTCTCATTGTTGGTAAACTTTTCTCATTGTTTGAAAATGAGAACAACTACTAAACACAAATTATGTGCGAAAATTAGGATAGATAGGCATTGATTACTAATTATAATGTAAGCGTGAACAGATCAAGCAAGCGATACTAACTCAAGATAAATGTGCAGTTAGGCTGATTTGTGCCAGATAAGGAAAGTGTGAAATTGTGAGTCGAACTTGTTATTGTCAGTGCACGAGAAGCCGAATAGATTATTTAAACTCGGAGCAAGTAAGAAAGCCCAGTCTTGTTTTGAATCCTGTGTCATTCTGGTCCTGTGGGGCTTGGAGAGTGTGAACTGAATGTATTCATGTAGTAAGTGAATGTACGATCAAGCTGCCGACCTGTTTCCCAAGAAAACCTGGCTATGCTGGAGCCATCTTCACATTGGGATGGATGAAAATGGTTTGCTGTGAATGTGAGTGGTTTTGAAGGCAACTGTGTGAGACCTGAAGTGTCAACAGGTGGAAGTGCTTTATTTGATAACTTGAGTCAGATAACTAATGTATATTTTGCTATCTTCCGAATAATGGTCCCAAATTATCAAGGCCGAAAATATACCCTAACAGGGCCTCAGTCATGTATAAATTAGGGACTTCCACCGCCGAAAGTATCTCCCACGCCGCCCGTAGTGGCATGGAGTGGGGCTAAACTAGACGGCTGGGACTCATGAGCATATAAAATGAAGAAAGCTGCAGGAGATGCAATAGCTGCTGCTCGTGAGTCCTAGCCATCTAGTTTAGCCCCAATCCATGCCGCACGTGGTGGCATGGGAGATACTCTCAGCGGTGGTGGAAGTGCCCATTTCAAGTAGCCGGAAGTCCGCAATTTACGTGTGACTGAGGCCCTGTTAGGGTATATTTTTGGCCTCGATAATTTGGGACCGTTATTCGGAAAATAGCCGTATATTCTATTGTTCTTGAGTAGACATCAAACCTCTGGCTCACTGACCGAGAAGAACATCGTTGGAGCAATAAACCTTGTTGCAAGCAGTTTAGTCAATTACTTCTTCTTATAGCCATGTTGTGTGGCATTCACAGTCATGTCTCTGCATAACCTTCTGTCTTGTGTACTTCAAATCAATTTTGACAAAGATGATCTTCCATGTCATGAAGTCCAACTGTCCAGCATCTGTTTTCTGTTTCCCTCTGACTCTTTTTCCCTCCAACTTTCCCACCGCCACAATGTACTCCAGTTTTCTCCTTCTCATAACACAATAAAAGAATGTAGATTGTCTCCTTATGATGTGGGCAGACCTTCTTCCAAGATATTTTCATTACTCTTTTTATTTATTCAAGGTATTCTCAACAATCATCTATAAAACCACAACTCCAAAGCTTCCACAAATGTTTTCTGGTAATCTGGTAATCCTAGTTTCAGCTTCATAGCAAATGTTTTCCCTTGTCGTGCAAATGTCCATGATTCACTTCTGTATACCAGGATAGGACTTATATAGATCTAGAGAATGCTCTTTTTCAGAAATCAAGCCTGGAATTTGTCGGCTGTTTATGGTTTTACTAGTTAACTCTACATTTAGTAGTTTGCCACTGCTTTCTCGGTTATTGAATAGTTCGACTATCCTCCGAATAACGGGCACATATTATGGAGGCCAAAAATACACCCTGACAGGGCCTCAGTCACATGTAAATTGCGGACTTCCGGCAACTTAATTTGCGGACTTCCAGCAACTACCGCCACCGCTGAGAGTATCTCCCGCGCTGCAGGGCTAAACTAGATGGCTGGAACCCATGAGCAGCAGCTTCCGCATCTCCTGCAGCTTTGCTCGTGAGTCTCAGCCATCTAGTTAAGCCCCGCTCCACGCCGCATATAGTGGCGTGGGAGATACTCTCGGCGGTGGTGGTAGTCGCCGGAAGTCCGCAAATTAAGTTGCCCGAAGTCCGCAATTTACATGTGACTGAGGCCCTGTTTTTAGCCGCCATAATATGTGCCCGTTATTTGGAGGATAGCCAACAGTTCGAAGCTCATAGTTTATTAGTACTCACTCAAACGATTATCAAAATCAATGCAAAGCAGTCTGCTGCCAAACTGCCTACAGCTGAATTGAACCAGGTATGTCACTTTTTTTAAACTTTATTCATAACACCTATGCTGAAGGTGCTGACCAAAAGTGTTGAAGTAAAGCAATAATAAGTGTGCTTGTCTGGGCCACAGGTATATTATTTTATCAGGGGTTGGTAGTGAACAGGTTGCAATACGTTTGTGTTTTTCTGAAGGAAAGTAAATAATAAATTGAACAGCTAGATCTGTGTTTTTATTTTTTTTTTTCAAATGTTTGAAGGTTGTGTCAACAATCATATCACATACTGTCTCCATAATGAAGGTTGGAAGCAATTGATCTACAACACTCTCTGTCGCTTTCTTGTCTTATTTAATGCAATACACTCTATCAGACTGCTGTCGTAACCAACGTCATCCAACTTCAACTTTTGATGCTGTCTCCCTTTTGTAACGCTGTCAACCTCTTGACTTGTTCTCTCTCTTGTTGGCCTTCAACGTTTACCTCCAGTTGAGTACGGTTCCTAAGAGCCTTTTAATATTGCCGAAGATAATTTCTATTATCTCAAGTATTCAGTATCTCTCTTTTTAATTGTATTTTATTCAGTGTAGTCTCTTGGCGAATGATGATTTGCAGCAGTTGTCACAGTCAGATTCAGTCTCTCCAGAACATCGTCACTCAACAGCAGTCCAGATAGTACACGGCAACAAAAAAGTCAACTCACAAACAAAACAACCTACTTGTCTGAATGAGACTAATGAAAGGATCAATTTGTTTACGATTGCGACGATGAAGTTGACAGTGAATATGTGACTTCCAGTCGGCACTGGTCGCCATGTTTGTTATCATTGACAATAGGTAAAGCTATAAATAAAAACACACTGTTGTCGTTCCTGGTGTTTGTTTCGTATCTTTCTGCACTATTTGTTCTATTCACTGATACAATATATTCTACGAGCGTACATCAGTGTTCTTCAACATTTTTACACCCGCGGACCTACATAAGAGGAGGGGGGGGGGGGGTTGTTTCGCTGGCCCCCTGAGTGTAGCTTATTTGTGAAATCCGGTGTCAAAAAATTACAAATAATTCATTACCAGCCCATGCAACATCTGCTACTATAGAGGATAGGACATATGTGTAGCAAAGTCGTGCTGGGATCATGTAGCTACTACATCAGTGTTTCTCAAAATATGGGAAATTGTTTCGCTGCCCGTTCGACATCATACAAAACATAAAAACTAAATTGATGCCTACGATGCCATGAAATGTTTACCGAGGAAAGATCTACTTAGGAACGATGATAGCAGGAGGAGAGTCAGCACATAACCAATACTGAAATTTGTAGGTAGACAAAAAATTTAATGGTTTATCCATGTGACAAAATTGGCATCAGACAGGGCACCACCGAGAGCAGTATTATACAGATGCAACGGTAATATCACGAGGCCAACGACACAAAATACGGACTGCAAGTGGTTCTTAATTTATAACGTACCCAAAACACGAAATCCCCGTGCGAAATCCACAGGTGACCTGACAGTCCATCTGCAAGTTAAAGTCGAGATGATCAACTTCATTGCATCGGGTTTTATTCCATATAGCTCGGTCTATCTCCGCAGAACAGCAAGCCACCTGCCGAGAGCATCGCACAGATCACGAACTCCGTAGCTCCGACGACGATTCCCAGGAATCTCCGTTAAAAACTGCACTCGTGAACTGAAGGGCGCAGCCGTGGAGCAAACACATGACCTGTAGAACGCGAGGCAAACGGCTTGATCACTTCGTCATACAAATCGAACAGAAGGGTCTGTTCCAGAGATTTCTTCCTGCCCTGACGCCGAAGAAGAAGAAGAAGAAGAAGAAGAAGAAGAAGAAGAAGAAGAAGAAGAAGAAGAAGAAGAAGAAGAAGAAGAAGAAGAAGAAGAAGAAGAAGAAGAAGAAGAAGAAGAAGAAGAAGAAGAAGAAGAAGAAGAAGAAGAAGAAGAAGAAGAAGAAGAAGAAGAAGAAGAAGAAGAAGAAGAAGAAGAAGAAGAAGAAGAAGAAGAAGAAGAAGAAGAAGAAGCCATACTCTCTTTGCAGCAATGTAGTTCCAGAATCAAATATCTGCTACGTGAGTTATACATGTCATTCCTAGCCCAGACTGCTGGGACTACAGGTTACGTAACTGTCGGTCGCCATGATATTACGTTTGGTTGAATGTGGTTTCCGAGATTTGCACTTGTTGATTTTTTTTATCTATGAGGTGTCAAGTCCCAGAGACAGCAATCGTGGATGAGAAAAACTACCCACCCTACCCCATTACATGATCAGGCACACATTTTTAGGGGGCTAAGTGGTTTCGAGAGGTGTCCGCCTGGAGGTCCCGGGTTTAAGCCCCGGTGAAGGCATTTTTTTTTCCACGCGGGGTTTTAGTAATTTGCCCTGGTATCTGGCTAGTAAGATCAGATCAGACGTTCGTGTTTATTCTTACGCACGTAAAGAAAATCCCTTGGCAGTTAGAAATCGAAAAGAGTAGCCTAACCGGCAAAATTTGGAGTTAAAATCTACCCAAAGTATTTCAGGATCCTCGGCTGTGCAACGGAGTTCGTGCACTGCGCTGAGATTTTTCAGACTCAGGCTTCAGTTAGAAGTAGAATAGAACACTCGTGGGTCACACCCCTGTGCCATGATGTTGATCCGTCGAATAAACAAAGACGAACAAACAATAACATTTTGCGGTCCACGTATCTTTTCGGCGGCGCACCAGCAGGTCGCAGCCCACGGTTTGAAGAGCGCTGCACGATATGATTATGCAGATTTGGGGAACCACCGGTGGTCTGAAGACCACCAGTTGAAAAACACTCTTCTGTATAAAATATCTATAGGAATAAATGGGTGGCTGCAGAATGTGAAAACGGTCACAAGACGATGGCACAGTAAGCCCCTATCATACTGTGTATGTGTATGAGCCATAGGGGGAAGTTATGGGGAAGAATAATTGAGATAAGGTATAGTAAACTAGCAATTAGTGATTAACAGAATAAATTTAAATGTAGAGCGTTCAAAAGTAACGGGCCCTTTTCCACGCCTTTAGGCGTTCTGGGTATATAGGGCTAGACCTATATTTTATAGACCAAATGGCACTTGGTGGCTTATGTAGTCAGCATCGATGATTGGTACCCTTTCGTCTTTCCAAACGATAGTGTTATAGGCCTATTGTGCTGAGATAAGACATAGGACTCACAGACCATGGCGATGGCGAGTGTGACTAGCAAGACCCGCCCGTGTCAAGAAAAGTCTTCCACAATCATAGCACGGGATTTCAGGAACATTGTTGTCAACGTTTGTGTTTAATCCATTTTTTTTTTCAGACGCTCAGCTCTCATTCTTTCTGTAATCTTTTTTTCCTTCACTCTCATTACCTTCCTCATATGCCCTTTCCACACACCACAATCCATGGCATTTTGTTCCCATGTGTAATGATCTAATGATCTTGGCTTTCTACTATTTTGGAATGAACTTTGAAATGATAAGACACTTGTAATGAACCGTGGCTTGACTTGGAATAAAGCGTGGCTTTCTACCGTCACTTGAAATGCACCTTATCTTACGAAAAATCTCTTCTCGCCATCGCTCACCCTCTGGGTGATTAATTCACACTGCTCTCACCTTTAGGTTTAATAACACAACGCCGCTCAACTCCTTTGTACATGCTATCAGTTTATTCTGGTCCAATTGTTTCACATGCTCAAACAATTATTCAGACTTCTATCGCTCGCGACATATTCAAACACTAGTCATTCGCACGACATAAAGACTTAATTTTCAACTAAATGCAACCGACTTCTCTTACTTCTGATGATCAACTGACCACGAGTCTAGCTCGGGCTTCCCCTCGCTTACTCGACTAGCCCCAATTATCTCGTGCTGTCACTTGTAGCACGGACTTTCTGCTTGCCCCAATGTCTCGTGGAGACCATGCAAAGCACCTCATCACACCATGAGTCCATCTCAATACCTGTATTGGTCAGCATCACGCCGGCCACCTTTACTTCTCAGGACTGTACCTGTTAACTAACCAAGACCAAGGCTGGGTCGACCTGGGAGCCAAGGTCATTTTGGAAAAACAAAAGTCCGGACCTGTCAGGACCCGAACCCACGACCTTCCAATCCGCAGGCAAACGTCTAGCCGCCAGACCACGGCGACTCCCATTGGCCATATAATGCTTCACCTATATTTTATAGACCAATCGGCACTTAGTTGGTGATGTCAACATCACGCCGACCGCCTTTACTTCCCGTGATTCTACCGCATATCCATTTAAGGCTGGGTCGACATGGAAGCTAAGGTCATCTGTGAAGAATGTCTCGCTCTGCTCGGATTTGAACCCACGTCCTGCGGAATCGCGGGCTAGGGTCTAGCTGCTAAATCACGACAGCTAGAGGGTGTAAACTGCATGTATATGGGACGGCTATAATGGTAGCGGGTCGTCATCGTCACCTTCTTCCTTTCAATCAATCAGTCAAGGAAAGCTGAGTGGTCTCGAGGTATTGTGTCTGTCTTAAGTGCTGAAGGTCCCAGGTTCAAGTCCCGGTGAAGGCTGGGCTTTTCTCATGTGGTCTTCTGGTAATTTCCCCAGGTATCTGGGTAGTGAGATCGGGTACCGGTGTTGTATTCTTGCGCACGTAAAAACAAATCCCATGGCAGTTGGTAAGAGTAGCCTAACGGCGCTGCTCGGGCAAAATTTGGAGATTAAAATCTACCCAAAGTATTTTCAGGACCGTCGTCGGTGCAACAGAGTTCGTGCACTGCGCTGAGATTCTTTGGACGCAGGCTTGAGTAAGAAGTAGAACGGAACACTTATGCATTACACCCGTGTGTCATGATGTTGATTCGTTGATTAATCATTAAAAAAAAAAAGTAGGTCAAGTGTCGTCTCTACAATGAAGGTTGGCTGCAACGGATCCCCACATTGTGTCTCTTGGTAATACACTCTCTCAGACTGCTATTCGTCCATCTCTCGATCATGATTCCTGAAGGCACTCCTTCTTGGCGGTTTGTCATCGTCATCCTTTCTATTGTTCCTGTAGAAACATGATTCTGAGTTTTGCCAGTAGGATCCACAATGAATACACTCTGGTTGTGTATCTGTGGTACTCATTCTTGGAACCTCCTTTCTGTTCTTTGGGCTTTGTCATTTGTCCAGGAATTGCCATTTGAGTTTCTGACCTTTAGGAGGCAATTTCACTTGTAGACGTGCTGCTGGTGGAAAAAATGTCTTCTGTACTCTGCCTCTGTATGGGTTTACATGGATGAGCAACAATATACTGCTCTCCCAGAAACGCCATTTCCTACAATGTTTGCAGCTTTCTTTCCTGAAAGAAGGCAAAAATGTATCTGCTGCCTGAGGATAATAACTTGATCTAAGCATTAGGTCAACAAGTTTAAGAAACGAGTTACTAATACTCGCCAGTGCTGACCACCTGAAAAGAATTTCAGCAATGAATTCAACAAAAGAAGCATTATTAGCTGGTAAAGCATCATGAAAGCGCTGCCCAAAACCCTTTTCAGTCAGTTGCCTGGAGGCTAGCAACTTTTTTACGCACTGTGGCAAAAGAACTTCGTTCTTCTGTCGACAAGTTGCTAAATGTAATCAATATTTTTCCTGTTAACAAATCACGCAGGCGTGAGACCCATTGTGATTCAGGGCTATCCTCCGAATAACGGCCACATATTATGGCAGCGAAAAACAGGGCCTCAGTTCCATGTAAATTGCGGACTCCCAACAACTATACCGCCACCATCGAGAGTATCTCGCTAAACTAGATGGCTGGGACTCACGAGCAAAGCTGCAGG